TAAGACAACAGGACGTAAGACAACAGGAAGAGACAACAGGAAGTAAGACAACAGCACGTAAGACAACAGGAAGAGACAACAGGAAGTAAGACAACAGGACATAAGACAACAGGAAGTAAGTTTAGGAAAAGCAGGATGAAGACACGGCCTCCTTCATCTCGCCTGCAGCCTCTCGGTGTGTCTCTGTGTGTGTGTGCGTGTGTCTCTGTGTGTGTGTGTGTGCGCGTGTGTCTCTGTGTGTCTGTGTGTGTGTGTGTCTCTGTGTGTGTGTGTGTCTGTGTGTGTGTGTGTGTGTGTGTCTGACTTCACCTTCTAACTTGCCCTCTGGCCCCTTTTAGTGAGTTACTTACGATTCCACTCTCGACCATCTGCTTGTCGGCCTTCTTCTCCTCCAGCTTCTCCGTCGTCTTGAAGAGCTCCTGTGGAAACAAACAACAGTAATATGACTGACATGAACAGAGGAGGAGTGAATGGTGAGTTCAGTTCAGTGAGGCTAGTTGTACTTCTCCAGGACTCAAACTCAGCAGACATCCCTTCGTCTTAACGGGTCAAAGCCCTAAAAGACTGTGAATCAACAATATTCTGTCATGAGTTGATGATAAACACAACAACTAGAGTTTGTGCATATTTTCAGAATCGATATCACAACAAACATCTACAGGTATGATTACTGTCCTGGGGTTTGTTCGTAGTTGTCTTGTTTTACTTCCTGCCTGTGTTTCATTAGTTAATGAGTTCCTTGTGTGTTTAGTCTGTCCTCTGTGTTTTTAAAACTCGTCTTTGCTCATTCAACCTGTCTGGTGTCCTGCATCTTCTTTGAACTGATTTGTGACGGTCAGTTCCATGTGTTGAACATTTTGAGACATGAAGGAAGAAAAGCTTTGAGAGAAAACACAGAGATGACTGTTTGTTCACCTCTATGTGGCTTTGTTTCTGTCTGCTGTCGTCAGTCAGACTTCTGGTGGTTTCATGCAGCTTCTCACACTCGCCCTGAATCTCCAGGATCGCCTTCTGCACATTGTTCATCAGCTCCACGTCCTGAGACACACACACGACACACATTATTTAAATTGGTGCTATGACCAGAGAAAACAGAAAAAGGGCTGTGGTAGAAAACCTCCAACACCCAGAATGCACTGGGCTCAGTGCGGCCTCTTCCTCTTCTATAGGTCACAACCCCTCCACACTGTATTCTGGCTCATATAAGAAGCACCGCAGGTTTCCTTCCAGCATTACCCTTTTAAAATCAGCCGGCATACAAGAACTGTGGAGCAGCTCCACAGC